TTAGGGTTTCGGGTGTTAGGGTTTCGGGTCTTGGGTTTAGGGACTATGCTGAGTCTGAGTTTATGTCCGGGGCCTCGGGTTTAGAGCTTAGGGTTTAGGCACTATGCTGAGTTTATGATAGGGGTTTCGGGCTTTCGCTAAGAGTTGTTCTGGGGTTTAGGGTTCCTTTAAAGGGATCTATAGTCAATAAGTTTAGACAAGGGTTAATACAAGGCTTACTACAGGCTCTAATTTAGTTGAGGATTTCGGATTTTGGGTTTAGAATGCCCAGAGCCTAAACCCTAAACCGCTGTCTGGCTTAAAGGTTCAGTCTTTCGGTCAAGGCTTTGGGTTTAGGGTTGAGGCTTCTTTGAGGGGGGGGGAGATTTTGTGGGGTTGGCAGGAGTAAATCGGAACGTAAAGTATGTGGATACATCTGTTTGTCTCTGTATGCAAGCACTTATACACAAGTTTTCCCGCAGATTCAACTTGTTTGGAAACAGTTGCGGTTGAGATTCTCTATGTAGCTTACCCGGGTATAAACTCTACCAGTGGCACCTTCATCACTACCGAAACCGCAAGCCTGCAGACGTTTATAGGCGCTTCTTCTCGGCCTGCCTGCCGCAACGACCACCCGGCTGCACCGCAACGCAGGAATCTTGGGCCTCTGCTTTGACAATTTTGCCTCATAGCATCATGTAGTCATATAAACACATGGCAGGGGTGCAGCAAGAAGGTCAAATATTAAGCCCAGTAGCAGGTCGCCCCCGCTTCTTTTATGTTTGAGTGGTCCTGGGAGCTATGCTTTACTATCGCTACCTGCTGACTGCGCTTCACGTGCAGCGTCTGGCCACCGTGATTGCTCAGTGGGTGGTTCCAGCCGAGACTTCCGAAGATGATCTGGTATTCGGAAGGCTTTTGCAAGCTTCCCACACCCCATGGTCCAAACATACTAAACTCTGAAACTCCAGACCCCTAAACCTTTAACCCCCTTCAACACCATCGAAACCCCGATAGTAATCCCTTACATCTATATTTTTAAAGGAACCCGAAACCCTGATAGTAACCCCATATATCTATATCTTTAAAGGAACCCGATTCCCTCAAAGGAAACCAGGGAGTGTAAACCCTAAACCCCTAAACCCCTAACCCTGATAGTAACCCCTTATACCTATTTTCTTAAAAGGAACCCGAAACCCTCAAACGAAACACGCCAGACCCCTAAACCCCTAACCCCCTAAAGCCTGATAGTAACCCCTTGTACCTATTTTGTTAAAAGGAACCCGACACCCTGATAGTAACCCCTTATCTCTATATCTTTAAAGGAACCCGAAACCCTCAAACCAAACCAGGGAGTGGAGCCTTGATCTGCGTGGATGCCTTCTCCGCCGCCTCGCGCGCGAAGCTGCGAACTTCTCCGAGGCCTTCGCGGTCTGAAAACAGACAAGGGTTGAGGGTTTAGGGTTTAGGGGTTAGGGTTTAGGGCTTAGGCTTTAGGGTTTAGGGTTAGACAAGTCTAAGGTAGGGGCCTTAACAATTAGAAGAGGGCTTAGGTCTTAGGGTTTAGGGGGCCTTAATAACAATTAGAGGAGGGCTCTGGGGGTGAATTATGAAGGCCCCTCTATTGTGGATTTTGAAGTTTTCGGTTTTGGGGATTTATACTGTAGAGTTGTTAGGGCCTCGGGTTCAGAGGTTCGAGGGTTAAGGTTTAGGCTTTTTGTTTTTAGTATGTTGGGTTAAGGGTTTAGGATCTAAGGTTCAGTGTTGGGGCGATAGCATTCAGGGGAATTAGAGCTTGTAGGGATTCTTCGAGGCAACTAGAGCATAGGAGGGCTTGGAAAGGGTTTGAGGAAAACAAAAACGGTTTCTGTAAAGGGTTGCATGAGGGTTCTGTGATGGTGAGGAGTGTCTTGATAAATGAAAGAAGCAAGTACCTGGCGTATTCATGAATATGTATAAGTGTGAGTATATGTATATGCACATGCATGTCATGTATAGTACGTATGCGCAGACACATACCACGAAGCCGTTTCCACACTACAATTCTGCGTGTATGGACCCTCCAGCAGCTCTGCCTTCGCCACATCTGGCGACCTCCTGGCTGCTTCGCTTGAGTGCATCTTCCAGCTGCCTCGCACCGGGGCTGCTTGCTTTGGGGTGTACGGGCCTTGGGCCTTGGGGTTTTGAGGGTTAGAAGCTGAAGTCTTCGGATACATGGCGGTTCGGACTGCAGTACATGATCTTGCCAAGGGTTCTTGATTCGGACCTGCCACAGCTGCTCTGGGGAACATGGTTTTCTGCACAACCTTGCTTCGAAGAATCCGGTGTCATCCGCCTTGTATCAGGTGCACATAACTACATAACATGTTGGTCAGCTTCGGGATGCTTCGCATGCATAGCTCGAAGCACACTCCGTGCCAAACTAACCCTAAACCCTGTCTGACTACCACCCCCAAACCTGAGCTGTAGAAAGACCGCTTAGAATAATCCTCAATTGACTTCACACTTAGGGTTTATGCAAACTAAACCTGAAACCCTAAGCCCTAAACCCTAAGCCCTATAAACCCTAAAAGCCTTAAGCCCTAAACCTCCAGCGCCGAAGCCCCAGAGGTGGACTGGATCTGAGAACGGACCACGACTGTCTTAGCTTCATGGCTTTCTTGCAAGCTAAACCCCAAAGGCCCTAAACCCCCAAAGGCCCTAAACCCCAAAGGCCCTAAACCCCAAAGGCCCTAAACCCAGATAATGCAGGGTTGCTCTAAAAGAGCTCCGCAATGTTGTTGCGAGCCTTGGTTTACTAAACCTTCAACCCAGGGTTCGTAGAAACCCGAAGCGTTCCTGAGTCCTGCACCCGTCCTGAACCACACACTCAACCAAACCAGACACGAAATGAGACCTATCACGGCGCCTTAATAATTGTAATAGGGTCTTGTGGCATACTATAGCAAAATTAGGGAACCCCAAGATAGTATTGATGATGATTTCGGCCACTGAACTACTGGCACCTAGTGAAAAGGTCCAGCATCTAATCGAAAGCTGGAAGCATAAGTGGACCAAACCAAGAAGACAACAGCTCCGGTTCAAGGCAGAAGTAGCGGCAATGTTCAACCTTTTCAACCCGGTTGGATTTTAGCCAGACTGCACAAACCACGGTCGCCACGTCAAAATGCAAAGTACTAACCTAGACCCCCCAACTACCCTCTATTATTCCCCAAATACCCACTATTAAGGACCATAAGGGCTCTATTAAAGGGCCATTGGGGGGTCCTGGAACATCGAACACCAAGGTCCCCGCCGGTCGGCTGCCAAACACTTTTCAATCTCGGACATGAGGCCTCTCCGAGAAAGCAGAACTCAGTGAGCCAAGACGAGACCATGACTAGACGTCACATTTTCTGATTCTGATTCTTCGTATTCTCGTTTTGGATACAAACGTCAACCATCGCTTTTAAGTTTGTGTTTACACCGGCCACAGCGACAACATCAGCAACAACGGCAACGGGAGGCAACAGCTGAAAGTCATCAGTGTGGCTGGAACAACCACGCGACAGCCACTGCAACCACCGCCACCGCCACCGCCACCACCACCAACAACAACACCAGCAGCAGCCGCAACAGCAGCAGCAAAAGCAGCAGCCACCACCACGACCAAATGATCACCAGTACGACCAAACAGCAAGTTGACGGTTCATCTTGCTTGCGGTTGCCACTCCTGATGATCTCATCATTGTAGGCGTGAGAATCCTCCTGGCGAACATTCTTACAGAGACTAGTAGACTTGAAAGACCAGCCTGGTCCACACTGTCCATTGATCACTGTGACAATTGCAACTGTGATGTCACGAGTTGGCCTTTGGAACACCCACCTCAAAGAGAAGCCCCGAGCCCTGAACGCTAAACCCTAAAACCCTGAATTGAAAGCCCCAGGCCCTGAACACTGAAAGTGGATACCTCGGCGCAGATCGACGAGGTCTCTCGCTAGCCTAGGCGGAGCTGATCTCAGTGGCTTCCGGTATTTTGGCACAAGGTCCCGGTTTCGACAGCTCTGAGGGCAAGAATGTTGGCTTTCGGGTTTAGGTGTAGGGAAAGTTTACGGCTTGGGGTCTGGAGGTTTAGAGTTTAGAGCTCAGCTTTTGTCTTGAACTCGCCTTGCTCCACGTGGCCATGTGTTTTTGTTTAGGGATTAGATTCAGGGGCAGACACACATACTGACACACATCTCGAAGGTTGTGGTGCCTGCTCCTCCCGACGCACTGAGAGCAACGGGGAATCATTTGCAAGCTTCTCTGCGTTCTTCTGGTAGGCCCCAAAGCCCTAACCCTAACTCCTCAAACCGCAAACCCAAGACTCAACCTGGACACCCCCCAACTACCCTCTACTAGACCCAAAATTACCCACTATCAAGGACCATCGGGGCTCCAGTGAAGGGTACCTGGGTGGGGGGATCCTGGAAGCCCAAATCCAAAGCCCTAAACCCCGAAGACACCCAAATACCCGTCTTGAAACTTACCGTCGCCCGTTTTGGATCCTTGAAATGTGGTATTCGTTTAGGATCCTTCTTAACAAAGGGGTCCATTAGGGGCCCATTAAGAACTGTATCGGGTTCCTACTAGGGGCTAGGATTAGAGATGGTTAGGGAAAATGTACCTCACTGTGGCGCCTTGAATATCGCCATATCCGAAAATCAGTGCAGGCGGCCCGTTTTCTGCAGCGCATGCCGCTTTACATTATTGTAGATTCTGTTATTCCAAGCGGTGAAGATGCTGAGGGAACGCATTGCATGTACTGGTCGGAGAAGATTTCAGAAACGTAGAATACCCTATAAACCCTAAACCCTCATTGAGCCGTTGCAAGCTTTCCGAGGCAGGGGCGCCGAACACACGTCTCCCTGCCAGACGCTGAAATCCTCCCAAGCCTAGAGTCCAAGCTCGAACTACCTAAACCCGAAAAGCCTGAACTCAATGTCGACCCACCATAAGAAGTCCTTTAAACAAAACGAAACTAATACAGGAGCGAGAAGGAGAGCGAGAAGCAACCCTGAAATCCTAAAGCTGCAAAGGCGCAGATTCTACAGCCTTCCAAAAGCAACCACCCTGTGGCCCAAAACCCTAATCCCTAACCCCTAACCCCAAACCCCCAAACCCGAAACCCTGACCCCAAACCCCCAAACCCGAAACCCCTAAGCCCTAAAACCTAAACCCTAAACCCTAACCCCTAAGCCCTCAAATCCTGAATCCTAAGGCCCGGTAGAAGCAGCGAGTTTCAAGTCCCGGCGGCTGCTCTGCTCGGGCGTTTTGCTCAGCATCTGCGGCCTTGGCAGCCTCTGAAGCAAGTTGTTGTTTTTTGTTTTTTTGTGGTGGTGGGGGTTGCAGGTTCAAATTTACAGCTCTGGGTTTTAGAATTTCGAGTGTAAAGTTTACTGTAAATTGCGGTGCTTTTAGGGGTTTAAGGGCTTGGGTTTTGGAAGGTTCAAGCTTGCCGGGGTTACTGGGAATGGGGTGCTAAAGGTATTTCGGATTTAGGACTGTTGGGTGCCGTGTTTCGGCTATAAGACTTTAACTTCAAGGTGTTAGGGTTGAGCGTTTTGGGGCTTAAAGGGTCTCGGAACCTGGAGGCCTTGTTTAGGACTGAGGCGAGGCTTTATAGCGTTAGGGTTCGGGTCTTTCTGGCTTCGGGGTGTTTCGGGCAGGGGTTGAGGTATTTAGTTCAAGGGTTGTAGGAAGCAGTTCCTCACCTTCTGACCCTGGAGTTGCTTCGCAGCGCGGGTGAGGATGGCCTTCATCGACGCCAGCAGCTGTGTCTCTTCGTAGTCCCCTAGGAGGTCTTGGAAGCCGCTGAAGCCACTCTCCTCGCCAGGTTGAGCTTCTGAATCGTGGACTTAGCAAGGAGAGGCCCTGTACACAAGCAAAAACGAATTCACCAGGACGTTCTGTGGGGCATCATCAAATGCTGTCAGAATCAGCATAGTCTTCTCGAGAATTGGCAGGTCCGTTGGCTTCACGCTCAGGTCGTGGCTCTGTTTGAGCTTTTTCAGCCTTGCCCCCTGGCTCTTGGCTAGCTGGTCCACCAACTCTTCGATGTTGCTCTGCGCCACCCCCTCTGCAGACTTGGGGATTGCATGTTACATAGTGCTCTCAGCGTTTAGGGGTTTGAGTGCTGGTGCTTAGGATTTGGGGCTGCTTGGCTTCAGCATGCAAGTTCCAGGATCGAGGTTTTAGGGTTGGGCTCGGGCTGTGGGGTTGCAGGACTTAAAATCTGAGAGTGTCAGTAGGGCTTAGGGTTTAGGGCTTATAATATAGGGTTTAGGGTTGTTATTGTAGGGTTTAGGGTCGGGGCCCCGAAACTCCCAAGCACTAAATTTTACACTCCCAATCCCTCAACAGCTTGAGCGATCAACCCGAAAACAGATGCCGAAAACAGTGGCCTTAGCAATTAGAACAGGATTTGCGGTGCGTACATTAGACTAACCCCTTACGGCATATAGCATCGACATTTAACCCTTACAAGCCCGAAACCCTGACCCTAAGGCCCTAAATAAACCGAAAAACCCAGAACCCCAAAACACCAAAACCCTGAGCCCCTAAACCCTAAACGCTCACCCAGAAGCACCAGAACCCTTGCAGAAACCTGAAGAGATCGATCCTGTTCGGCTCCCCAACTAAATCCCAAACACGAAGCCCCTAAACCCTGAACCCCAAACCCTAAACCCCTGGGCCCTGACCCCAAATCCTCAAAACACCGAACCCCTAATCCCCACAACCCTAATTTACACAAACTCACTCGGCGCCTCCATCCGGGAGTTGCTCTCAGAGCTACGCTGCTCTACGAGCTCCTTCGTCATCGTTTAGGGTTTTGGGTTTTGGGTTGGGGGTTTCGGGTTAGGGTTTTGAGTTTAGGGTTTAGGGGTTTAGGGGTTTAGGGGTTTAGGGTTTAGGATTTAGGGTTTCGGGTTTTGGGTTGGGGGTTTCGGGTTTTGGGTTTTGGGTTGGCGATTTGAGGGCTTCGGGCTTAGGGTTTGGGGTTTAGGGCGTCAATCACAGTTGAGGGCTAAGGTTTTTTTTTAGGGTTCCTAGAAAGGAACAAGGATCCATGGGACCACTTACTGCAAAACCAGCTCAGCCTGTTGTCGAGCCGCAAGTCCGAACATAAGAAGCCCGAATCCTAATGTAGGGGCCTTAATAATTAGAATAGGGGTTTGGGGCATATTATACTATTATTGTCTACTTATAATGAGGAAACCCCAAAATACTAAAGGTAATTAATTATTTAGGCCCCTACATTAACCTCGGAGTCATGAGCTTCTGCTCAGATCTCAACACCCAACGCCGAACGCCGAACAAAACGGTCCCGAATGCTTATAACATATTGTGACTACCCATAGGCCCCAGAGTAGTTCCTTTTGGGGATTACCTTATAGGGTTTTAAATATGAACCCCAAAAAGGAACCACTATGGGGCCTATGGGTATATTGCAGCAGAACAATAATAGACTTTGTAACCATAATGAGGAGCAGTAAGGAATAAGATCTCAGGCTTCTATAGCGCAACCTGCAGCCCTACATTGGTAGATCTTAGGAAACTCCTTGCGACAAACGTCAAAATCCCTCCGAAAGAGGCCCCTCAACTCCGAATCCCTTATCGCTAGAGCACTACAACCATAAACCCTTGAAGCCCGAAACCCTAAGCTCCGAAACCCCTGACCCTAACCCCTCATTCCCAAATTCCCAAAGATCCAAAAGAAAACAAACAAATTCAATAATGTTATACTACTATTTTAATATTATTCCAATATTATTCTAGCTTGTTTAAATAATACAAAAATTCGGCGCCCTTTCGCCTTCAACTCCCCGGCGCGCTGCTCGAGCTGTTCGCGGCTCTGGGCCGCTGCCTTGCAGCCGAGTGTATAGAAATTTGCAAGGGCTCTGAGGGTTTTATAGTTGTGTAATAACTGGTTAGTTTTTGCAAGGGCTGTAGGGTTTTATAGTTTGGTAATAACTGGCTAGTTTAAGGGTACGGACAATTACGAAGGTTTTTGTCCTGCAGCAAAGGGGGACGGGGTTCATGGCATTTCGGGTGATCGGATTTTTAGTAGGCTTCATATCGGATCCTGTATCGTTCTTCTCGTCGACGGCTCTTTCGATCTCCCAAGCTTTTAAACGGGTTTGGGGGTCTTGGAAGGTCTTCTGAGTCTGAGGATCGCGGATTCGTGCCTAGGGGTTTAGGAAGTTTAGGGACGACATGGACTCCAGGGTTTCGGGATTAAGGGCTTGGGGATCGTTCTTAAGGAGGTAAGACGTGCGTGGTATGGGTCTATGGTTTAGGGTTAAGAAGTGTTTGGTAGGCAAGGTGCAACCCGATTCTCGCACGATGCGCGGTGCATCACGGTTTCGTTCAGATGTTACAGTTCTGCTTTAGGTCTTGCGCGTGGGGAGCCGCTATGCTCAAAACTCAGACACCACGAGCCAAGTGCATAGATGGTAAGTGCCGGATAAGCCACTTCGCAACCAGTCATTCAAAAAAGGTGGCGCGCAACTTTTTCCAGCCTACACTACAGACTCCACCTTGGACCGTAAGGCTTGAAAGCCCTCAGCCGGACGCACTACGCTATACCTTAGCCCGCAAGACCTGAAAGTTAAAGAGTCACCCCTCACTCTCATGACAAGGCTCCTTCGTGAGCCCACCTGCCCTGTAACCTTGGGTTCTAAAGGTTAAACTTGAGGCTGATATAGAGACAAAGTATAATGCCTCGCCAAAAGCCTGCGTGAAGCGTATTACCAGAAAAATGTTGACGGTAGTTACTCCACTGGAAACTAAGCGAGGGAGAACGGGGTGAGAGATGAAGGTACCTTGTTAGCCTGCAGACTGCAGAGGTTTACGTTATCTAAACAAGCATCTGAATTGGGGTCCTGTTGGCGAGGTGTCCATGAGTACGTCGCTCGAAGATCGAGGAGCTTAAACGATCCTAAATCAAAGAACTCAGTCCCCTTAGACCCATAACGAACATGCTCTCTTTCCTGACCCTTTGGAACCTTATTGTGCTAGAAATGCATAATGATTCCTAAGGCACAAGCTAAGGACTGCGTTGTCGTTTGGCCTTGTCTGCCACGTCGCGGGCAAAGGCCTTCATCTCCGCAAGGCCTCAACCAGGGCGCAAGCTTAGGATTGAGTTTGAAGATGTATGGACAAACCCCGAACTCCTTAATCCTCAACCGAGGTTCAGCAAGGCTTTAGGCCTTTGCATTGAAGGCTTGCTTGGGGTTTAATAAAGAAGCCTGGAGAATTTGAATAGGGTTTTGGGGCCCAATATACTATAACTACAATAAGGAGCTCCCAAAATAGTATAGGTAGCCATTTAGGCGGTCATGGCTCTGGGTTCATGACTAGGGATAGCGGGTCTCTGCAAAGCTTTTGCCGTGTTTACATGGCATGAAAGCTTTCTAGACAATTAGTCACGCTATTCCTGCAACTATAGTCACACCCTATTCTAACTATGACGGCCCCTCTCTCTCTCTCTATATATATATATACACATACATGTCTCTCTCTCTCTCTCTATGTATACATATATTATGGTAGTATTAAGTTCTGTCGAGTCTCTTGGTTTCATGGGGCTCACAATGAAGACCAGTGCTGCAATTGACAGAGTGCTTCCGGGGTTGATGGCTTTCGGGATTTTTTTTGGTTGTTCAAGGTTAGGACTTTAGGGGCTCTAGGGTTTGTAGTTTAACTCTAAACTACTGGAGCGTTTAGGGTTCGGGGGAGTAGGGTTTAGGGGTTCAGGAATTTAGGGGTTTAGAGTTTAGGGTTTAGGGGCTTAAGGGTTTAGGGTTTAGGGTTTAGGGCTTAGGGCTTAAGGGCTCTGGGTTTAGGGGGGCTTCAGGTTTTTTCGGGGCGCAGGGGCTTAGAGCCTCGGGGCTTTCGAGTTAGGGGTCTAGCCGTTTGTTTGGGAGGCTTCCTGGCCCTTCATAATTAGAGTAGGGTGTTGGGGCCCATTATACTATAATATTTTCTAAGGAACCCCCCAAAATAGTATTGGTAATTATTTAGGCCCCTACATGATCGTGATTTCGGAGGTTCGACCGTCAGGGTTTATGAGCTCAGGATTTGTAGGGGATTGAACGCTTCGCGCTTGTCGGGTGCATTTACAGTAACTTGTAGGGAGAACGGATTTAGCAACCCTGGGCCTCGAACCCTAAACCCCAAGCTTAAGTTGGGGCTGAGGGTTCAGGGTTTAGGGCTTAGGGCTTCATGATAGGGATAGGGTTTTGGGGTTTAGGGGGTTAAGGTTTAGGGTTCAGGGTTTAGGTTTTGGTATCCATGATTGCTGCTCCAACAAACAATGGGATCTGCCACCTCATCCAGAAGGGGCCAGAAACTCAAAATCTCGGGATTGGGTGCAACTCCAAAGCCCCATCAAAGCCTAGAGCGTACGTCCTACAATCCTACAGCACTAAGCAAACTCCGAGAGCCTGAAACCACTTGTTTAAGGGTTTCGGGGCGCAGTCTAAGGTTTAAGGGTTTCAGGGCCTGGGGTTGACGTTTAGGGTTTATAGCCCCTCACCAACAGCAAACACGAAGCAACAACAACTCAACAGACCGAAACTGCAAAGCCCAAACACCCTCACAGCCTTCGTGGCTCTGCGATGCGAGGGCACTCACCTCCAGGATTGCCCAGCACAGTTGGATCACACAACAGATGCCCAAAAACACTTTTTTGGCTGGGTTTCTCGCTGCTAGTTTGGATGCTTTGGATTTAGCGTTCCCTTCAAAATTTGAGGGGAGAGGGATGTGTGAGCTTGGTACTCTGAGTTTCGAGTGTTCTTCTTTGGGCTGCGGGTTTAGGCTAAAGCGTCTTCGGGGTTTGGGTGTCTTTTCGGGTTTGGGCTTCAAGGATTTGGGTCCAGGGTTCCGGATTCGGGTAATGTCCTTTCTGTAAGAGTGTAGAACATATCAGAGTGATATACTCCTTTGCGGGTCGACAGGCTTGAAGCCATTCCAAGCTACTGCATCGGCACGAAGCGCAGAATGATGGTGATGGTAGCAAACAGCGCAGCCCATCTCACGACACCCCAAATGCACCAACATTTCCTGTGGCACACATTACAGTATACAAACACAATAAGGAGCGTTGAGGAATAGATTCCGTAATTATTTGTTGGTACAATTAGAATAGGGCTTTGGGGCATAAGTTATGATAGTAAAGATATGATACAGAGCCCAATGGAAGAGTCAGGTTTCGAGATTATGAGCTTTGGTCCTGATTCTCCCCGGCGGTCGGGCCTGAGGGCAGGGCCTTGAACAAGTTCCCACAACCCATCAACCTTCATCATCAGCCCCTTCTAAAGCTCCCGAACCTTAACCACTACCCTAAACCCTAAACCCTAAACCCTAAACCCTAAACCCTAAACCCTAAACCCTAAACATCAACATTAAAGCCTTTCTTAAAGCCCCAAAGCCCTAAGCTTGGCCCTGGCAGCTCAGTGCAGATCCCGCCTTCTCCAGTCGCGCCTCCGTCCGCTGGGAGGAGTCCTGCAGGAGCCTGCCGGGAACTGCCACTGAAAGCCCGTATAGTATAAGGGTTTAGGGTTTAGGGTTTGGGGTTTACGGTTTAGGGTTTAGGGTGCCACTGAAAGCCCTCCCAAGGCGACAAGGGTTTAAACGGATTTAGGATTAATAGACTGATGTCCTCCGGGTGGGCTTCATGGGGCCTGGGTGCGGTGTTCGGAGCGTTCTCATGGAGCCTATTCTGACGCTGAACGTTTTAGGGCTTTGGGCTGTTTCGAGTGTTGAAGCTGTAGGAGAGTGCTGGTAGGGCTTAGGGCTTCTTCTGTTTCGGGCATAGCAGTTAGCTAATGGGTCTCAAAACCCCCAAACCAAAGCCCTCCACGCAAAACACAATACTTGACAGACACGCTACTTGTACTGCTGCCCTTTGTGCCCCAGTACCTTTTAGTTTGGGCTTTTGGTGGAAGGAGGACATAGATTTACATTCCACATCATCCGAAGTTGAATGTGACAGCACGAAGCGTAAACACTCAACCCAGACCTTTTCTGAAACCTCTATGAACGCATTGCGACACCCACATTCACGCTGCATAGCATCGGGATCTCATGTCAAGTCAACCTGAAGGCTTGCTGTAACCAAGGTTTAGGCTCCAGGAGGGGCTTTATAGAGTAAAGGCTGTTTTGTAGGACTTTATCCGGGTGTATCCAGGTTCCACGGATGGGTCGCGATGCGTGCAACTAGCTATACGTGCACCAACCAGATTGAAACAGATCCGAATCAGGGCATGTACGGCTTAGGTTCAAATATCACTGTCCAAACAGTATAACAGCCCTGTACACCCTTCAAGCAAACCTCTGCATTGCTGAGCCCATAAACCCAAAGAGTGTACAAGACCCAAGGCATTCCAGACCCATCACCGTACGCCTGTAAGGCATGATACTGTTTCACCCCACTAGTTTAGTATAACACCTCATAAGCCCTCATAAAACCCTCACTTCCCTAAACAACACATCTGACCAGTTTCTGAAACGGGGCCTCGTGGAGGACTGACACTGCTCCAGCTGACTTTGCAGACCTGGGCAAAGGTCCTTAAGGGACTCCTTATTAAAGGGCTCTGTGCATGAATAGGGGTTCCCTTTAGGGGTTCCATTAAGGGCTCCTGTATTCCATTACGGGGGGGGCCTTTTAGGGCTCTACAAGGGTTTCCCTTAAGGGCTTATAAGGGTTTAGAGTTATGAGGGTTCAATTCGGATGTGGTGTTTGAGGGTTTAGGGTTTGGCGGTATGTTGGGCTGGTGATCGTTGGATCGTAACAAAAGTTTCAGAAGGCGTGCGTGAGACTTTACAACGGTTTATTCAGAAGGCATACCCAGGTTCGATTCAGGATATTTTAGGGGCCTTAATAATTAGAATAGGGTTTTTTGGCCCACAAAAATAAAATTCGAATAAGGAGCCCCCACAAAATAGTATAGGCAATGCTTTAGGCCCCTACATGACTTCCTTTTCAAGTGAGTGGGAAGATATAACCTCAGCTAAGGCACTTATAGCAGAGTTCGTTTTAGGACTCAAGTTCGCAACCTCTACCGCCAAACTCCGTAAATCCTGCTCCTGGACCCTGCACCCTTCTAGTTGAATTCTTGAAATCTCATTCTTCAAAACAAACCGTGTAGCAAAGCAACTTTAAAAACTCATCCTAACGGCCTGTATGGCAGCAAAAACTCATCCTATGAGACCCTCTCATCCTGGTGCATCACGGAGCAACCTTGACAACAAGTCTTGACAGCCATCCACTGAAACGCCCTGCGGATTTACATTCAATCCCCAAACTACTCACAACACTCCAAAACACCAATCCCGAGACACGAACACTAAAGGGCCTACCAAACCCAAAACCCCGACAGACCCCAAAACCGAGAACAAGCGTTTTAGCTTGTTAACAATCCTGAAAAGCAGAAAAGTCCTAACAGCCCAAAAACTCAAAATTAACGTCGGCGCCTTTGCGGGCTTCGCCGAGCTCGGCGAAGTTCCGAAGCAGCTCTGCCAACTGCGCAGCCCGCTCGGCGTCTGCCACGCGCAGGGCCTCCGCACGGCGCGGATGGATTTGTAAGGCTTTGTAAGCTGTGAAGTGTTTCTGAGGGTTTTTGGGGTTGTAAACGGTCTTTACTGGCTTGTCTGCGCATAGAACTCTCAACCCCCCCCAAAACAAACTCGCAAACCGAACCCACACCTCCAGCCGCGCAGCAGTGTCCGAGGCCCTCCGATCCAGGCGCTCCTGAAAACATTGGCCCCAAAGTACCTCTTAAGGGACCACTTTAAGGACAAAGTATATGCAATTTGGGTACATGGATCCTTGGGGTAGTTTTATGTGGAAATTTCTAAAAGAAAAAAAAGGCTCGCCCTATTTGGGGTTCCGTATCGTCAGAATCCTATTTGCGTACATGGACCCTTTAGGGCTAGAGAAGCCGTGCAACACCCTGAATAAGGCCAGCAGCGGTGTCAAAAACATCCAAAGGCCCATAAAGTTTTTGAGCCCCTTGTGTTCCAGTTTTCCCAGCGAGCCCAATTTACCCATGAAGTGCGACATATCCTTAAGAACATAGTGGCGAACTTAACGAACTCTACATAAGATGTAGTTCTCAAACATACTTGTTGACTAAGGCAAGTGGTGTTGAGTTCTCTAAGTACATGCAAGAAATACGAAGGAGAGCTTATGTAGTTTTAGTATGGAACCATCGTTCGTAGGCTCTAGGCTGACACCACACACAAACCACCCGAGTCTTAGCCTTAGTGGGACTAAACTTCTGCAACCGAAACTCTCGAACTCCAAGCCCTAAATGCAAATCGCGTGCGACTCAAAGCCGCACAACATCAGTCATGCAAGCCCTGTATCCAGGTTCCCTTGATAGACGAAGGGTGCAGGGAGGCCTACATCATAGAACAATCACTTTGGGGGGTCGTAATACAAAAAAAACCTTTCTTGCTGTGGCTTCTACGAGACGCTCCGCAGTAACGAAATCAACAGAACACATCTCAAGAGCTGGATGTCCTTGAGCTCATCCTGCTGCGTCGCAGCCTTGTCCTGGGCCTCCCGCGTAGAAGCCTCTCAAAACACTTCCTAAACTCTAAACCCTAAGAATGCTTAAGGGGGGTTCTTCGATTCATGGTGGCCTTAGCAAGGAAGGGTACGACCCTCAACTCGACTCGACTTCGGATTAGGCGAGGAGGCCCTTGAAGCTGAATCATGGGGTTTAGGGTTTAGGGTTTAGGTTTTAGGGTTTAGGGTTTAGGCCCTTAAAGCTGAATCACACTGTAGTTGTGTGGAGCATGAGATGTCCGAAACCCGACCTACCTGGACTATCTCGCCATCACTCCTGCTTCTGCTCCTGCTTCCAATGTAGGGCCTTAGTAATTAGACCAGTTTAGGGTTTAGGGTTTAGGGTTTAGGAGGATATTGCGGTATATTATGCTATAGTTATAGTAGAGAACGCTCAAAATAGTATTGGTAATTACTCAGGCCCTTACATTACTTCTCCTGCTCCTCGTGCTTCTGCTCCTGCTGCTGCGATGGCAAGGGTGAGGATGAGGGTGGCTATGACGATCAGGGCACAAGCACATTCCTTGCCACAACAGCGCTAGTACAGTTCCTTGTAACCACACGCCTGGAAGCTCCTAGAAGCCAAAACAACTGCAGGTGCAGCAGCACTAGTTGCAGAACCCAAAGCACTAAACCGCAACACCACCACCACCACCACCACCACCACCACCACCACCACCACCACCACCACCACCACCAGCACCACCACCACCAGCACCACCACCACCACCAGCACCAGCACCAACTACAACAACAACCACAACAGCAACATAAGCCCACAGAGACACAGTCCACCACCGCGCCTTGATCTCAGCCACGCCTTGCCGGAGCGGGCTCGAATATCCCAGTTTCGAAGTCAGCTAGCTGCTTAGAAGCGCTGACGGTTTAGTATAGGGACCTCAGAACTGGATTTTGTCAGATCAAAATCAGTATAACCATATAGTAAACAACTCTAAAACCCTAAACCCTAAACCCTAAACCCTAAACCCTAAACCCTAAACCTAAAAGCCTGCGTTATTGTAAGTTATTGCTCTTCGCAATTATCCCGGCGATCTTTGCTGCACTGAAGCTGCTGGGCCTCGGGGTTGGGGTCTCGCAGGGTCCTAAGTATCTATGTGGGGATACTTACCCCAACCGTGATACGGTTGATAATAGAAATCCTGCATTACCTTAAGAACCCTAAACTATGGGAATTATGGTATATTCCTTATTATGGGTAATGCAGGATTTATACCATCAACCGTAGTAATTCCTATTATAGAACCCTTACTTTCTACTACAAACCCTACACCCCAATCCCTGATTGCGGGGGTGGTCACGTCCAACATTTGTAGGCTTTGGGCCTGGGGCGAATGGCTTAGCGGCTTAGCGTTTATCTATCAGGGCTTCGACACATCTTTTCATGATTTGGGGTCTTCCTATAGGACCGATACCGGACCCACCGAAAACCCTAAAGCCCCTAAGCCCTAAACCCCCTAAACCCGAAACCCTAAACCCGATATACCGGAATACCGAAACCCCAAATGCGCCCCTCCCCGCCTTCCACAGCCTGCGCCGCCTGCGCGGCCAAGCGCTCGACGCGAAGCTCCGAGCGCTGCAGAGCCTCCTCCAGCTGCCTCGGAAAGGCCCTGAACCCTAAGGGTTTTAGGGTTTAGGTGTTTAGGGGTTTAGGGTTTAGGGGGCCCACTAGACTATACTTATAGCAAGGAACCCCCCAAAATACTATAGGTCTTCACCCTAACCCCGGGGCAAAAGGTTTAGGGTTTAGGGTTTTGGGACTCGGAATTCGGTTGCAGAAGGGTTCCCTTAGAAGGGTTCAATTTTCAGACGAGAATGGATCCTCGGACCTTCTGAACCCTAAACCCGAAACCCTAAACCCAAAAGAAGGCAGTGGTAAGTCTCAATGAGGATTTTCTTCGAGAGAGTCGTAGTGCTTCCAAACTGAAACTGCTATGCAGGATCTTCGGGTTTAGGCTCAGGGTTTGAAGGGTCTAGCGTTCAGGGCTTACGTTTACGGTTTCGTCACGACTTCAAAAAGCTCTACGAAGTTGCTTTGGAGTCTGTGCCGGTTCTCGACAGCTTTCGAGCGTGACTTGGTCGAGTCCACGTCTTCAGTATCTGTGCAGCAATTCTGCACGGTGGTTTCGGCTGTGTCTCTCTATGGACGGGTTGACACTCAGCGTTTGGGGCTTGGGACTTCGGGTTTGGGGCTTTGAGGCGCTTGGGAGTCTGGGGCTGAGGCGGCTCAGGGTTCAGGTTTACACTGAAAACCTCATGCCCTGCAAGCATACGGTTTCAGCCCCTGAAATGCAAAGGGAAAGCCGAACAGTACCCAAGCACTTTTCAAACATACGGGCCCCATTATTCACTCATTCTGTGAGAAAGTTGCGCGCCTTTTGCAAGGCCCCTGGCTTCCTGAAGCTCCCAAGTACGTTGCACCCAGGCCCCGCTGCCCTAAATCAAAACATGTTACACCCTAAACCCCTAAAGGGAGTTTCGGGGTTTAGGGTTGCACCCAATTTAAGCCCTGCTGCCTGTCAGCCGCCTTCCGGCCCTCGATGTCGGCAGAAAGCCCTGGAAGTGGAAAGTGCTTCCTAGAGCTGCTTGCTGGGTTTATGTGGTCTTGGGACGAGGACGACGACTACGACTGCTTCCGACTTGAAGACTGTACTTCGTCAGAGTTTTCTATGATGAAAAGGCTGTTTGTGCGAGTGTTTGTGTGCGTGTGCTCCGCGCCAAGCCTAGACGCCAAACTGCAAGCCCAAACCCTAAAACATGAACTTGAGGCTTGGGATGTTTCTTCGGATTCTTGCCGGTTCAGGGTTCAGCACGGACGGCTTCGGGCCCAAGCAATTTTGGGTGCTTCAGGAAATGAGATGCAAGGGCCAAAGCTAAGCAGGAAACATGAAGGGCTACATTTTTGTTTTACAAGAGTACATCACCATTGTACTCAGACCATTGACTCAGATCCCGAAGGAAATCCGTACTTATAAGGCTTTACAATGCTTTCCACAATGAATGGGTTTAGGGTTGACTTCGAGGAACTACCCAACTGCAAATCCTGGTCCACGGAACCTTGCCAAGGGGAGCTCCAAGAGATCCTACAAGTAATGTAGAGGCCTTAATAATTACAATAAGGTTTTTTGGGGCTCCTTCTTATAATTATAATAGAATATACCCCAAACCCTATTCTAATGTTAGCCAGAAGCCATGTGGAGTTTAGAAGCCTCCGCCCTACAGCCCTAAAGTCTGCTGTCCATCGTGGCCCGGGTGAAACCCCAACCCCCAAATCACTACAAACATCAAAAAACTCGAAATACCCTAAATAACTCGAGGTATTACTGAACACTGAACCCTAAATTCCCTAAATCACTCCAGAAATCTTAAACCTTAATACTGAACCTCAAAGCCCGGCAAGCCTAACCCCAAAGTACCCTGGCTTCTCCTTGCGGGCCAACTCTGCCTCTTCGCAGGGGCCTTGAAACCTGAATCGGTAGATAGAAAACCAATCCCTATCTCTAGAACTCTCTTCTTCAATAACAATAACCAGGCTGTAAACAATTCAAACGTTTTGGGATAGACATTATGTATAAGGCCGAAAGTTTAAAGTTCTCCCATTGGCTCTCTTTGAGAACTGAACGCTAAAGAATCTTCAAGTCTTCAAGACTGTTCCGAACGCCTATACCACCCCTCCTGAAAAATCTGTTGAACCCTTATTACAAGCCCGAAATCTTAAACTTAAATGCCCGAAGACCTAGGATTAAAAAGGGCTCCCTTCTTGGTATTGGGTTTAGGGTTTAGGGTTTAGGGTTTAGGGTTTAGGGTTTAGGGTTTAGGGTTTAGGGTTTACGGTATAAGGAACCTAAGACTCCAAAAAGGGAAAAAGGGCCAATGGGAGACCCAGTAAACAAGCTCGAAAAGGCGAGCCTGTAAAAAACGAACCCTGAAGTCCTAAACCCTACCTGGACCCCAAAGAACCTACCTCTTTAGGGCTCCTTATTATGATTTCTTTATATAAGTCCTTCAAAAGGTAGGTTATTTGGGGTTAAGGCAAACCCTAAACCCTGTAGGACATACAGAACCCTTCGACTCCTAATGAAACCTCCAAACCCCGAGCCCACGACTCCACGAATCCTTATAGGGATTTGTAGAACCCTGTATAAGCCCTTATAGACTTTCGGATTTAGGAATGTTTAGAACCTTGTATGAACCCTTATAGACTTTGGGTTTTAGGCTTTAGGTTTTAGGGTTTGGGGTTTAGGGCTTTTAACCCCTGTTCATAAAGCCCTAATTAATTAAGACCCTTTATCATATAAGATCTAGGGTTTAGAACCCCTGTTTCAAAAGCCCTAACCCTAAACCCTAAACCCTAAACCCTAAACCCTAAACCCTAAACCCTAAACCCCTACAGCCCTAAAAGCCTCAGCATGCGCGCGCCTTTCCGAGCTTCGGCGAAGTCTGCAGCTGCCCGGGTGAGCTCAGCGAGCTGCGTGGAGTGCTCGGAGTCCGAGGACCGCAGGGCCTCCGGGGTTAGGGTTTCTACGGTTTGTAAAGGGTTTAGGATTTATGGTTGTTAGGGTTTAGGGTTTTAAGGTTTTAGGGTTTATAGGGTTTCAGGATATGGGGGAGTTTAGGGTATGAGGCCTGCGGGCTTGTAAGGGGGTTTATAAGACTTCGAGCCTCTGTGGGCTTGAGGGTTCTGTGGGGTTGTCCTTTACTGCAGGATTTAGGGGTTCTGGGGGTTTGCAGGGCACCCGCGAGCAGGCGCTTCAAGCAAGTCGGAATGCAGCCGCAGTTGCAGCGCGGGAGAGGGGCGAGCGGCATTGCCACAGATGAGGTCTCCCTTCTTCAGTGGTGCTCCCCGCCGCTTTTTGTTGCAAGGCTCCTGCAGCTGCGTAAGTTGCATGTGCGGACGCAGCAGACCTTGGTCGGCTGGTCGGTCTTGAAAGCAGGGCGCAGCAGCTTCGCAAGCTCTTTGCATTTCTGATTGATCCAAGCCTCCAACCCTTCGGGGTGTTTGGGAGTTCGGCTGCTCTCTAGGGCTGTAGAGAGGTCTTGTAAGGGTTGCTAAGACGGTTTATTAGATATTGGGGCAATGTTTCGCTCTCTACAAAGGTTGTTGTTCTAGCCGTTGGGGGGTGTTTTAAAGGGTTTCTTGCTGTAGGGTTTAGGGCCTTCCGAACAGTCCAGGGAATTCCAACCAGTGGCGAATTAAGGGTTGCAAATGCCAAGGCCAAATCCCTGTCATCAGGGGCCTCAAGCGGCCTCAAAAAAGACACGATGACATTTTCTAGCGTGGTAACATTGACAATCGCCATCCTTAACAACCGTATGAAGAGGCTTTGGAGTTGGTGCCGTCTTGAGGTTTGGACGGTTTTGTATTGCAGGGCGCATTGAGGAAATGGGGTTTAAAGGGTTCCTAGCAGGGAATCATGGGATTACAAGGCTTATCGGGGCTCAGGGTCTCGGGCTTGCAGGTTTAGGGCTTGTGGGGCAAAGCTGAGGGGTCCATGCCGGCTTGAAACGGTGTAAGTAGGGGAGATGGCGGCTTCGGGGCTTGCACTTTCAGCTTCTGTGCTCTTGGGCTTAAGCTGTGAGCATTTACTGACCCTAAACCCAAAACCCTAAAACCCTAAACCCTAAAGCCCTAAACCCTAATATTTAAATTACTTGCGGCCTCTACGTTTGTCGGGCCCTCAAGGTGTTCGGGAGGTGTACAGCGTCGGCTACTACAGTCTTACAGCTTAAACCCTGACGAGTGCAACTGCAGCCCGGTGTGGTCTTGGGTTTAGGGTTAGGATGTGGGGTGTCGGGTTTGGGGTTTCAGTATATGTTGGTTGGGTGTAACTTTTCTGATCTGCCGTCCCTGGTTGTCGGTGGGTGCTCTGGACTCAGACGTGACGGCACGGTCGAGCTGGGGATTTCAGACATTCGGGCGTTCGATGGGAAGTTCAGAGGTTTGGGGCGGTGCTGGTTGAGGTCTTCTCCGCTTGCAGCCAGAAGCATACATTTCGGATCGACGCCCCTCTGCAAAGATGCAGACGGGGTTCAGTATATAGGGTTTGGGGCAACAGAACCACAGGCACAATGATTTACAGCACCTTAACGAACAGACGTTCAGAACCCCCGCCCCGGCTCCGAGCCACAAGACGCAGCCTCTATTTTGGAGGAGGTCTCGGTGGTGAGGCGGTCCAGAAGGCCCTGATGTCACTACGAATTTGTAGTGAGCTGTCAACATGGAAGGCTGTTACAATCATCTAGGTCTAGACGGGGCTCTGTAGGAATTATGACGATTAAAGGTTTCGTGGGATTCGATCATGCTATACAGCATCAAATGAATTCGCAAGTCTGTTTGTTGCAAGACCAATTTCATATGTATGTGTATATGAATATTCGACTCTGTGTGTGTGTACAGATGTGCAAGCATGTATGTATATGTATGCAGGTATGCACGTACGGATGTATTCCACCGGAGCCGGCAAAGGCTTCTCACGGCTCATTGATGTATTTTTGTTCCAAACAAGCCCCAAAAGAACTCGACATCACTCAACCGATCCTCGCAAACAGCACCGTCTTCAAGCAACTACGGTTTGGGACTTAGGGTTTAGGCAGAGCTAGATCCATAAATGAGGTTGTGTGTACAGGTGCCCAATTGCATGACCACCAGATTCCATGTTAACTTCCATATGTCAGACTTCCTAGACCCTTGAACCTCACAAGCGCATAAAAACCAACGAGTCTAGCCCGCCATGTCCACGTCCCCAAACCTCCTACCCCACCTAAGCCCAAATTCCTACAACTAGACAAGAACCCAACGCAAAGAAGCCCGGCTCAACTTCCTGGATGTTTCCCTTATTGCCGGGTTGGAATCCGCGGTCAACAACAAGCCCCAAACCGCCGCGAAAGCACAGAATGCCGGCACAGACCCTCTTGATTAAGCGCCCACATATGGTATAACCCCCCCCCCCCCCCCCCCCNNCCCCCCCCCCCCCCCCGCCAAGCCCCTCGAGAAGAATAGAAGATCCAATAGCAACCCCCGTACAACTTTTCAACACGCGAAGGCCGCAATGGATCCCAAACCGTTCCGAAGTTCCGAAGTTCCAGACAAAAATCCAAAAACTCATGCCTTGAATTCTTGAGCTTGAGCATCCAGCTGGCTGTGGGTCTGGGCAGTGGCCTGTTTAGGGTTGCGGCGGTTCGGGCTAAGATTTAGTGCCCAGGGCTTTTCTACACCATAACCTCCAAGCCAAAAATCCTAGGCAAGTCCTTATGTATTAAGGACCCCGCTATCCTAAACCCGACAGCTCCAAGACTCTTGGGTTTGGAATCTTCGGGGTTCCACAATTCGCCAAACATCCCACAAACGCACCAGCACTTGCAGTGAGAAGCATATTTGCAAGCTCTGCGGGCTTCATGTAGGGCCTACAACTTAATCCGGTTCAGGGTTGAGGGCTGTGTGGGGTTCTAGGCCTAGGGCTTCCCTTGAAAGGCGTTTCGGGTTTAGGCCTGGGGTCGAGGTCAGCTGCGGCGTCAAACTTCCGGGGTTCCAAGGTTTATGTGCGAGGTTCCTGCAGGAAGGTGTGCCATGCATGTTTTTAGGCTCCTCAAAATCAAAAGCAAGCCCGTAGAGTCAAATCAACCCTGGACATAGACTAACTTTAGGGAGCCGCGCTAAGAGGCTGCAAACAAAGAACATTGGACAGCTTGAGCACGATACCCGAAGCAATGTTCGGTGCATGAGTACGCAAATCGAGCATCGACTATGGCATATAGACACATCCCCAAACGTTACACAGTCTAAACCTCAAACCCTGAATCCTGCGTGATGCACCTACAACAAGGCCCTAAAACCTAAGTACCTCCTAAGAGACAGCACTCTAACTCCGGCTCGCCCGGGCTGACTAAGATGGTGAAGCGGACAGCTGCATTCCGAGCATGCAGCTCGAAGGTCCATCCACACCGGGTTCGCATGTCCGGCCACCCTCCAGAGCCAATGCATGTGTCAGCCAGTAGGTCCTCATACACGTACGCACGCCGCGGCAGTTTGCCCGGCGCCGAGGCGAGCAGCCTCGCGATGCTCGCGAAGGTCCCACACATTTTTGATCTCGCGTTGATGCCTGCGGCAAATCAGACCCTAAACCCCAAACCCTAAACCATAAACCCTCAACCCCAAA